GGTATCAGGTGCCCCTTTCTCCATCTCTCTTGAGGACCGAGATCCCGACGATGACTTTTTGGTCCACCACGCCATGACCGTCGGGGACGCAAGAGACGGGTACAAACACACAGATCTACCTGCACTCCCCACGCGCAGATCTCTGATCTTCCGCTCATCGCTGCGTGCTCTCTCTCTCTTTGTGTGTGTGTGTGTGTGCAGGTGCCTGTCGAACCGTGCGAACCCGCTGCAGCTGGACCCGCAGGGCACCGGTGACGACACCAAGTACCCCGCCCTCATCGGGTACGCCAGCGGCTCCGCCTCCGAGAAGATGCTGCCCCCCGACGACATCAACACATACGAATACGTCGGATACCAAAAGGGGTCCAACAGCAATAAGGGTGGGTGGGTGGGCGCCACTGCCACTGCACTGCTCTGCTCTGCTGCACCCTCATTCATCGCCGTGCTATGTATGTGTGGCTGTGTGTGTGTGTGTGTGTGTGTTAGGTTACGCAACTTGCTCCCTCCAGACGGTTGGCGGCAAGAACTACTGCGTGTTTGGCAAGGCGGCCTATGTGCCCAGCGGCGCCAGCGGCACCACCTTCAACCCCACCTCGACTAGCAGCCCCTCCGGCGGCAGCGGACTGCCCACCGATGCCACAAATACGCCCGCATCCTCCAAAACCGTCATCGAGGAAATGGTACGCACAAGGACGCACAAGGAAACACATCCGCGGTCTGTCTGGCCTCCGCTCTACCATGCGTATGTGTATGTCAGGCCATCCCGTTCCCCGGTTTCTACTCGATGTGCATCTGCCTGAACATGGCCACGACTGGCTCCAGCAAATGCGCCAGCGCCCAGAGCGCGGCGGCCTTCTCGGTGGACGTGGGCATGGTGCTGCAGGTGGCGGGCTTCAAGCAGAAGAACCTCGAGGAGAAGTACTGCGCCGCCTACAACAAATGCACGCTCGACTTCCTTCCCGCCGCCTTCTACTCCTTGAGCAACGTCAACTACACCACCGTCCAGCACAATGTCGACCTTGGCACATCCGTCGATGTCACCACTCGTAAGCCACACACCCACAGACACACACAGGGAAGGAAGATCGGCTGGCTGGTCATCTTGTGTGGTTCCGTGTGTGTGTGTGTGTGTATGTGTGTGTGGTTGTCAGTAAATGACGCTGAGGTTGTGACGGGTGGTGTCAACACGGCAACCATTGCCGATCAGCTGTTCATCACGGAGGACTTCACGGACGGCTCGACCAAACTGCACTGCTCGGCGGACGTGCACTTCACCAACAGCTCTGGCACACCATACCACGGTACGGATCTCCCACCACGTGGCACCACACCACGATTGTGGTCCCTCCCTCTCTTGGTGTATGTGTGGTCCGTCCATTTGCAGCCCAAGCCAAGCTGAACGTGGAGACCAACAAGGTGAGCTGGGTCTTCACCCTCAAGACCGCCGCCACATCCGTCACCGCCTCAGACTTCCAGGCCGAACTCGCACTCGACCCCACGTAAACAATATACACACATGGATGGATGGACGCAACGTCCATGCGCACATCTGTCTGTCTGTCTGTCTGTGTGCTTATGTGTGTGTGCAGTCTTGCCGGCACCCATTATCTGTGTTGGTTCCCCTGGACCGTATACGGAGGCTCCGAAACGGCACCCAGCGGCGTCGCCAAGGGCCAGGCCAAGTTCGTCGCTGCCAAATTCGGAATTGCCGGTGAGTCGCTTGCTGCCGCACGGACAAGTCTGTCTGTGTCTTTGCAGCCAGCCACATACATATGTCTGTGGTTGTGTGTGTGTGTGTGGTTCAGGTCCGACGAAGACCAACACGATGATCAGCCAGAAGGTGACCCCCGGCACTGTGACGAGCTTCGCCCCTCTGGCGGCCTACAACTACAAGGTGGGCGACAAGCTGCTGGTCGTCAAGCAGAAGTCCAGCAGCAGCAGCTGCGGCACCGGCGGGGGAACAAACAACGACGGCAAAATCACATTCAAGGCTACCAAGGTCTTCAGCTCCCAATACAATGCGGTACGCACGCAATCACAACAGAAACTGCCCCACCCCAGCGAGCTGTGCGCACGGCTGTCTGTGTGCGTGTGTGTGTGTGTGTGCGTCTGTATCAGAGCGCCCTGTTGACGAGCACTGCCAGCGGATCGCCATCGTGGAGCCTCTATGTGCCTAAGTGAGAGCAAGAGAGAGCCACAGACAGATGCAAACAAACCCTCTGATGTATGTTCCGTTTTCGTTGTCCATCGCCGTGCAGGGGCAACTTCGGTGTTCAGGGTGACTACCACTTGTGCTGGTGCCCCGGCACCAACATCGGCGGCGTCAGCTGCCTTGATAACGACTTGACTGAGTCAAACTACCTTTACGAGGCCGGTCAGTGAGGGACTGGGTGAACGAACAACCGGCAATTAATTCCATGTTCTGTGTGTGCGTGTGCGTACGTCTGTCTGTCTGTCTGTCTGAGTGTAGGTAACGTGACGATCCCCGGTGCCACAATTGCCCTGAAGGGTGCGGTGTGCTACCCGGGCTACCCCTGCACCGTCACAGTGGCCAACACCAGCTGCGTCGGGTGCACCACGTCAGAGGGCGTGCAGGTGGTCCGCCGCGAGCTGGCCTCATACGACGACGGCAATACCAAGAATGTCTTCTACGAAACCAACTGCGGCGGGCCCAACGGAGAGTGAGTGAGACACTGCCACCCACCACCCACCCGACCACCCACTTATGTGTTTTGGCTCGTGTGTTAAAATTTAGGGTGAAGAAATGGACGACCTCAGCAACGGCTACCCAGGCAAACGCGTGGATGTACAACTGGACGGCCTTCCCCAACGACGCGTCGCTGGAGTTCGGCAACATCGGTCGATACGTGCTCTGCTGGTGAGTCGAGAGTTACTAGATGAACAGACTCTCTTCTCTCCCTCCGAGATGGATGGATGTGTCGTGTATCTGTATGTGTGCAGGGGCTCCTCAAGTCCGTATGGCCAGCCTGCGAGTGACTTCGAGACGGTCAAGTCCAACTTCTTTGGCGGAGAGACGCCGGCCACGCCCGGCAACACGGCCAGCAACTCGGCGCCCTGGACGAACCACGACTACACCTTCCAGGTGTTCGGGCCCTCGCGCGAGAACTGGATCACGTGCAAGATGGCCGACGAGAAGCCACACGCCACAGAAGACTTCTGTCAGGTGACACACACACACAGAGGGAGGGAGGGAGGGAGGGAGGAATGCACACACAAGCATAGCCTCCCTGTCTGTCTGTCTATCTGTCTGTCTGTCGTTGCTGGCCCGTCGCGTGTTTGCAGGTGACACCTAAGACGTGGGCGACTCACGATGCCGGCACGGCTCTGTTGCCGACCTCCCTCAACGCCGACGAGTTCCTGCTGGCGGGCGACTACGCCACCGATGACGAGTTCATCATCGGTGTCAAGAGCACCAATGACGCCATCCTCGACACGGTATATGGAGACGCGTGTTCTGTATTGCTCGGTGTATCGGGTTGTGTTGTGTTGTGCTGTCTTGTGTGCAGTGGCCGTGGACCACTGGCTGCGGCGCGGGCACCGCTGTATTCAACTCGACGCTCGCGGCCACGACCAATATCAACGTCAATGCGTCCGAGCCGGGCATCTACGAGATCTGCTACTGCCCCAGTCAGCACAAACACACACAAACATATATACATGCACAC